TCTGAACACTTTTTCTTTTCACCCCCACTCGTGGAAAAGATTTAGACTTTTGCTGAAAAAAAGGATCACATGATGGCTAATCGATAGGCGGCAATCAAGAAGCAGAGAGGAAACTAGGGACGGACAGCACAACGCAAGACAAAAACAACTGATGTGGGACTCTTCTATAGATCTGATGCCTAGAATTAGATGTGGGGGGGGGACGGGAGTGTGTACATGTAAAGCATAGTTGAAATGCTGTTATATACCCATTCACTGGAAATCCCAATTGGATCAAGTAGGGGCGGTATTAAGAGGTATTTATCTTTCTGGAGTTCAAGCTACCTCAAAATGTTCCTTAGCCTCCTCTGTAGTCCTCGCAACCAACGAAAAGTTTCTGATTTTCTAATCTGGACAGTAATGATCCACAAGTCTGTACCGTTGAATGGTGTGTCCGCTAGATGTATAGTACAGCGCCTTCATCGTTTTTTGTCCAACCCACCTCATCCCCCTCACCGTGAAGAAGCTGGTGCCATCCCTGGAATCAATAAAGGGTGATATGATTTAAATTAATGTCAATCTTATTGTGAAATTAATATCGTATATATGTTACAAAACATGTCATGTTTCGCCAGCTAATCCGTTCTATTCCCTAAGGATATAGGCCCTTTTGTTTGGAGTGTACGACGTATACCTGTTGCGGTATCAGCATAACCTTATTCAGTTAATTCTTTGTATCGAGGTTATCACTTGACCTTATTTTCTAAGTGCCATAGGGCGACTACAGTAACGCTGTAGGTTAAGCACATAAGTACATAAACTGGGAACATAAAAAGAAACAAATAATAATGAAATTGAAAAGTATATAAAATAAATAAATAACCACTTATGAATTTTTGGTTATAGAACTCCTTTCCCATTGATAGACGTATAACAATTTACAGCAAATTACAGTCTGATAATATCCTACAAATGTGCTTAAATTACTGTTAAAGTAGGAAGATTTAGCCATGAAAAAACAGAACAATTTATAAAAGTCCCATCATGTTGGCTTTATAAATAAATATACGTATAGTTGTTTTCTTTATTATATCATCCGGTTTATTAGTGCACAGTGTAAACCAATTGAGGATACTTCATTTCATGGGTGGTTCTTTAAAGGTAAAATCTAGACAAAATACTCGTGTTAGTGTTTGGTCTACTGAAAGGTAGATCTGTCTGCCTTTCTTCTTCGTTTTTAATGCAATATTACCAGTCAAATGAAAAGTTATAGAAAATCAAATAAAAAACTCATACATTAAGTAATTTATGCTGGAGATAAATTTTAAAATCAAATGCTCTCAAGTATTGACAAAATTTCTAGTTTCATAAATATAATTCACGTTTTTGTTATAAAAATGGATCGTCTCCCAGTGGCTCAGCCGTAAGACTAAGGGCTCACACCGCTAGAAATCGGGGTTTGATACTTGTGGTGAGTAAATCATAGATAGCCCAACAACAAACAAACAAATAAACTGAACCATAACGTCCTGTTGCAAATACTAGGAACCAAGATTCTTAACTTATCTAATACGTTTGATTCAAAACTTCAGATTCATCAGACATCTTTATCTGCGTAAATTCTTATTTAGTGTTATTAAAAAAATAACAACATTCCTACTTAAAATGATTTTTTTTATTTATGTGAAAAAATATGAGAATATTTTCATGACCTTAAAATATAAAAGTATAAAAAATATAAAAATATAAAAACGGAGAAAAAAATTAACAAATGACTTTCGTCGATCCCGATAAAACATCGTTTGCCCGATGATGTAATTTTTTTCTTTGCAATGTTTAGCAATGTTTTAGCATTCTGCAACTTTTTTGCTTGTTCTCGGTGCTACTTGTAATTGCACTAGACAAAATAATTAATCAAAGTGAATGTATATGTTTCTATTAGCATACAAGATATATTGAATGCAAACGTTTGCTAATACACAATGTAAATGTGTGCTTCACCTAATTATAACCTGGAAACATCTACCAGATTCATTCTGTAGTTGTTAGAAGAAAAGAAAAAGTATTATTAATATGTATGTTTCCTGATTTACTATAAAATAAGTAACTGATACTAAAACGTTCAGTAAAACTTTATTTATGCTATAGTCGTTAACACTTGATGTAAAGTGTCCAAAGTGCTTAAGAAGTTAAGCCCATTTCTCATCACTAAAACTTTTGTAGGTAAATTACTAGCGTTGAAGCATGAATTTGTATAAACGTACAAAAATGTTTTGTATTAATATGCATGAGAGGCGACAGAGGAAAGAGAAAATAGGTCGTACACTCATTACCAGTTCCTAGAATCTTTACCTCATTACCTACATAACCGAACTGGGTGATACTTAATAATTTATATGAATATAGAAAGCTATTTATTTATTTATTTTTATTATTATGGGGTGTTTCAAGGTTTGTTTGTACATTTTAAAGATAATTTTGATAAAAACAGGCAGCGTACAAGTATGCACAAATTAGGCTTAACGTGTCGTAAAAAAATAATGATGTCGTGTTAAAAATAAACAATAACATTGTTTTAGTAATCTTTATTCTAAGGCCCGGCATGGCCAGGTGGTTAGGGCGCTCGACTCGCAATCTGAGGGTCGTGGGTTCGAATCCCCGTCCCACCAAACATACTCGCCCTTTCAGCCGTGGGGGCGTTATAATGTGACGGTCAATCCCACTATTCGTTGGTACAAGAGTTGCCAAAGAGTTGGCGGTGGGTGGTGATGACTAGCTGCCTTCCCTCTAGTCTTACACTCTAAATTAGGGACGACTAGCGCAGATAACCCTCGTGTAGCTTTGCGCGAAATTCAAAACAAAACATTACTCTAATCTTGAAAAGCGTAAAATTACACAACTGGCTTTTATTACTCTGGCGGTGGCGCTGCAAACAGATTGATTGTTTTGAATTGCGCGCAAAGTTACACGAGGGCTATCTACGCTAGCCGTCTCTAATTAAGCAGTGAAAGACTAGAGAGAAGGCAGCGAGTCATCATCACCCACCGCCAACTCTTTGGCTACTCTTTTACCAACGAATAGTGGGATTGATCGACACTTATAACGCCCCCACGGCTGAAAGTATGAGCATGTTTGATGGGAATTTGAACCCACGATCCTCATATTGCGAGTTAAGCGCCCTAACCACCTGGCCACGCAAACGTCCAATTTGAAAATGAGAATTTATGCTGCGGTCGCCGAGTTGGACAAGTAGTTTGAAAGTAGTTTCCGATCTGGTACACATACTACAAAATGAATGATATAATTGACAAACATTCACGTGTGACATGTTCGTTGAATTATATAAGGCAAGTTAGTTCAGCGCTATTTTTACCGTGAGTTGTAAGGTTATGCCTAAGCAGATTGTCTAGATTATAGACTCTAGAATACAGTTTGACATAGTAATTACTCAAATTAGCATAAGAGGCCATGTTTGGAACTGCTTATGAGTGCAGTGCACCACTTGTGTTTCATTAACGTTCAGTAAAAACACCCATCTTACATTTTACAAGTGTCGGTGATTACTCGGTAGTAAATTGATCTGTTATAGTACATATAACCACTCATTCTTAACTAAATTAAACACGACTTGCCTTAAAATTAGGACAAGGACCAAGAGTTAGACGTTGTGAATTAATCTCTTGCGTAGTTGTAAATCATTTTTTTTTCAATGTATGCCATTCGATTTTATTGTGACACTTTAAGTCATTAGAGTATAAAGGACAGTGAACCATTCTTTTTAACAGACCTAACAGATAGCCTCGTTTTCAAAACATATGTAAGCAAAATGGCGGAAATGTGGTGAAAGCCTCCACGGGGATAGAACCACGATTGTTAATGTTATAAGCCCACAAGCTTATTGACTCAGGGGATCGCACAGTAGGAGTCTAAAGGGAACCAGTTAAAGGTTATTCTTATTAATGTGGTATTTTTAAATGCAAAAAAAGACCCCTCCTCCTGATGGCTCAGCGGTATGAAATATACATTAAAAGCAGTGTTAAAAACAACACCCACTTTTATAAAACCTATCTCAGATCTGATGTTGTAGATGATAACTTTTACAAAAGATATTATGAATATAATTTTGATTAAACATCTTCTATTAGAGAAATACAATTTATTTATAATAACATTATATAGCATCATAGACACACGAAAATCACATCCAGTACATCTGCTCTATAAAGTTGTTTATTAATCATATGTTATTCACTTTTTTGTGCAGTACAGTGTCTGAAATTACACAATATTTAGCACACTGTTAATATTTCAGTAGCTAGTTCCGATTCACTATTATTCACTAGTGCAGTCCGTTGATATTTTTACACTCTGGTTTGTTTGTTTGTTTTGGAATTTCGCGCAAAGCTACACGAGGGCTATCTGCGCTAGCC